ATTACCTCAACCGAGAGGAGCTGCTGACCTATATGGCAGAGTTCGGTCTCGAACAGACCGGAACAGTCGAAGAGCTGCGAAGACGCTTCTCTGCATTTATTCAAGAAGAGAGTAACAACGAGGACTACCAAACGCGGTTCGAAGAGCTAGAAGCGAAGCACTCGAAGCCTGCGCTGAATGTTACCGCAGCAACACCAAGTGGAAGCCAGGGAGCCAGTGTCATGCAGTCACCAATGCCCGTTGACACGTTTGAGACACCACAGCCATACGCAACGTATCCTACGACATCGCTGGCAACCATCATGGACCGAGTTCGTAAGTGGGGTTTCAAATACGACGGCGGCCGAGACCCGCTCAGCTTCATCGAACGTGTAGAAGAATTGGCGGAAGTATACGAGGTGAATCGTGACTTGTTACCGCGAGCGATGCCAGAACTACTTAAGGAGAAGGCGTTGACATGGTTCCGCAGTAATAACCGGAATTGGCGACAATGGGAGGACTTCAAACGAGACTTTCTAAGGTTCTTCTTAAACTCTCGCTACCACGAAACCTTAGACGATGAGATCCGTCGTCGCGTCCAACAACCGAACGAGAAATTTAAAGACTATGTGTTGGCCCTTCAGAGTTTGATGCGACACGCGAACTACACCTCAGAGCAGAAGCTGACGCGTATCTACAGAAACTCTAGAAGCGAGTTCCAATGGTACGTCAAACGATCCGAGTTCACCACCCTAGAAGGGCTAGTGAGTTTGGCGGAAGATATGGAAAATATCCCCCCCGGTGAGAGAGCTACAGAGAGCCGCAGCGCGAACCACTCCGCGGGTCACGGAGAGATATCAGCACATGCGCGAACTGCCTAGGAGTGACGAGACGGCTAGAGCAGAGAGGACACAGCGCCGACCTGAACCACACAGCGGTGTGGCAACACCACAGACGGAGTACGTTAATCCGTGGACTGCGTGTAGACATTGCGGAGAAGAGGGCCATTTTGCGAGAGAGTGCAGAGCTGCACGGAGAGAGTTTTGTTGGACCTGTGGTCGATGCATTGTCCCGACTCGAGAGTGCTGCCGTAGTGCATCGGGAAACGGGTCGAGGTCCCATTTGCGGCGAGGAGTGGGGCGTCAGGTAGAACAGCCTCTCCCAAACTAAAGAGTGTCCTAAGGCAGTCGGATGGCCGAATTATGGCGGCGATTAGAGTAAACGAGGTCGACGTAGTAGCTGCAGTTGATACAGGCGCAACAAGAAGTTTCTTGAGCGAGGCCATGTTTAAGAAACTGGATGTGGGAGAGGTTAGGAAGGTGAACACGCGTGTGGTAATGGGAGATGGGAGATCCAGAACGTTGCTGAAGGCTATAACGGCGCAAGTGGAGTTGGCGAATCAGGCGCATGAAAGCGATCTTTTGGTACTGCCTCGTTTGATGGATGACGTGGTGCTTGGAACCGATTATCTGGCAAAAGCTCGGGTCCGATTATGTTGCGGAGACTTAGACGTGACACTCCGAGAAGAGAGCTGCGCACAAGGAGTAGAAACGTTCACGGCAATACGCGAGGGAGGTGCAGAAAGGTCAGGTAAATGCGATGAACCCAAATCAAACCCCACATCTACAGAAGCCACGACAACCGACGAAGCGAGGGAGTTCTTAATGTCAGAGTTACGCAAATTTGAGAAGATGTCTGGAGTTTCAAATATTGCCACTCACCGGATCGTCATGAAGGATGACCGGCCGATCAAGCAGAGGTATTGCCCGAAGAACCCGAAGATGCAGGAAATCATCAACGCGGAAATCGACGACCTTATCGAGAAAGGGTATATTGAATCCTCACACAGCCCGCACAGCGCCCCAATAGTGTTGGCGAAGAAGAAGACCGGCAAATGGAGACTCTGCGTCGACTACCGACAGCTAAACGAGCGTTCAGTGCCCGACGCGTACCCCCTACCGAAGATCCAACATATCCTTGATCGACTACGAAGTGCGCGTTACATTAGCAGCCTAGACCTGAAAAACGGTTACTGGCAAATCCCAATGGAAGAGCAGAGCAAGCAGTACACTGCTTTTACAGTGCCAGGGCGTGGCCTTTTTCAATGGCGAGTAATGCCCTTTGGGCTCCACTCCGCCCCGCGACATTCCAGCGTGCGTTAGACCAAGTTATCGGTCCAGAGCTAGAGCCGTATGCGTTTGCCTACCTGGATGACATTATTGTCATCAGTGCAACCCTGCAAGAGCACGTCCAACATCTTTCGGAGGTCTTCCGACGGCTTAGGCAGGCGAATCTTAGGATCAACCCAGAAAAATGCGAGTTTTTCAAGAAGCAGTTGAAGTATCTGGGTCACGTCGTCAGCGAGAAGGGCATTCACACCGATCCTGAGAAGGTCGGGGCTATCAAAGAGCTGACACCACCGACAAATATAAGGGAGTTACGCAGGTTCCTAGGGATAGCTTCATGGTACCGAAGATTTGTCCCCGACTTTTCCAAAGTGGCGCATGCGCTGACGTCCATGCTAAAGAAGGGCCACAAGTGGAAATGGAACGACGAGCAACAGACAGCGTTCGAGGCGCTGAAGAACGCGCTAACCGAGGCACCAGTGTTGGCTTGCCCTGACTTTACGCAGAAGTTCACTCTGCAAACAGACGCGAGCGACTACGGGCTGGGAGCTGTTCTCACCCAAGAGATTGAAGGAAAAGAACGCGTAATCGCATATGCGAGTCGCCGGCTCAACAAGGCCGAACTTAATTATTCACCAACGGAGAAAGAGTGCCTGGCCATAGTGTGGGCGATCAGAAAAATGAGACCCTACCTAGAAGGATATACGTTTACCGTCATCACCGACCACTTAGCGCTAAAATGGCTGAGTAAGATAGAGAGTCCATCCGGTCGGATTGCAAGGTGGGCGCTGGAACTGCAGCAGTACTCCTTCGATGTGCAGTATCGCAAAGGTAAGCTGAATGTGGTAGCAGACGCGCTGTCAAGACAGCCCCAGGAAACATTGCTTGGTTCGATGACGGCGGGAGGAGTAGCAGTAGAGTGCAAGTGGCTGAAAGACAAGATGGCGGAGGTGGAGAGGTCCCCACAGAAGTTTCCTGACTTTGTCATCGAAAATGGTGAGCTGTACCGGCGAATATCAGGCCAAATCGACGGTGAAGACGTGTTGCCATGGAAATTATGTGTACCGACAGAGCAAAGGCAGATGGTGTTAAGGGAAATTCACGATGTTCCCAGTGCAGGCCATATGGGGATCAGAAAAACGATAGCGCGGGCGACAGCGCGATATTATTGGCCGGGCATGTTCCGCGACGTGAGCAAGTATGTGCGACAATGTCAGACCTGCCAGCTTTACAAACCAAGCCAGCAGCAACCAGCCGGAAAGATGCTGACGCAGCTAGCGGAAGAACCCTGGGCGACGGTGTGTGCTGATTTCGTAGGACCTCTTCCGCGATCCAAGCATGGAAACACTATGGCGCTGGTAATACTAGATCGTTTCTCAAGATGGGTCGAGATTGTACCAATGCGGAAGGCAACAGCGGAGGGAGTAATTCGAGCAGTGAGAGAGCGGATTATCGGCAAATTCGGCATTCCAAAAATCTTGATCACGGATAATGGAACGCAGTTTACCAGCTCGAAATTTAAGCAATTCCTGGAGGAGATGGGAATAAGGCACCAATTCACTGCTCCGTACACACCGCAGCAAAATCCGACGGAAAGAGCTAACCGTAACATCAAGCGACTACTGGCGCAGTTCGCAGGCAAAGACCAGAAGAGCTGGGATGATCTGTTGCCAGAAATGACTTTGGCCCTCAACTCTAGCGTGTGCGACGCAACGGGTTACAGATCGGCGTTCGTCGTCCAAGGGCGAGAACCAAGGTTACCGAACGCATTGTATGACGAGAATACGTTAGGAACCGGCGAAGATGCCACAACACTGCAAGTAAAAGCGGTGAGAATGAAAGAGGTGTTTGAGTTAGTGCGACGAAACCAACAAAAGGCAACGACAGAGCAAGCGAGACACTACAATCTGCGAAGAAGATCGTGGCAACCGGTCGTGGGAGATAGGGTTTTGGTGAAAGAACACTTCTTGTCTAAAGCCGTGGACAATTTCGCGGCTAAGCTTGCACCGAAATACGGCGGACCACATCGCGTACTAAATTTTATTTCGCCTGTGATCGTCGAACTCGACAAGGTGCACAAAGGGAAAAGAAGAACAGCGCACGTCAGTGATCTCAACCCATTTTATGAGAGCAACGCCTCAGGTGAAAATTCCCCGTGGCATCGTCTGAGCCTAATTCGGGGCACAGCGGCGAATAGGTAAATTTCAGCAGAGACTGAAGTGTGTGAACTCGGCAATTGCCAGCAGGGGAGCAACTGCCATGACAGCGGAGACCCTGAAAGATGAGAAGCTAGCCGAAGAATCCTAAATCTGATGAAGAAGAAGAATAATGATAATAAGAAGAAGAAGAATAAGAAGAAAAAAATAAAGGTTCCAAGGGAAACCAATGAAAGTGGAGATGGCACGAAGCACAAAAGAAAATTATAAAAAAAAAACAAAAATAATAATAATTATCATTATAATATTAAAATTAATAATAACAACAGCAATAGTAACATAATTATAAAATATTGATAATAATTATAATTATAAATATTAATAATAGCTAAAACATTTATAATAACAAAATAATACTAATTCTACTAATAATAATAATCGTAATAAGAAGAGGAGTAATACCGCAATGGCAACCCGAAATCTACTCCAGTTCACATCAACGCTACAAAACTCCCTTTTGGATAGTCAGCAACCCCGATACCAAACTACAGCTGTGCGAGGATGACAAATAAACAAATAAAAACAAAATATGCAATGTGAAAGTGAAACGGCAGCAAAATTACCGAAATTTTGCTGGAAAAGTGCCGGAAAACTAGGAAAATACAGTTGGTCGCGCAATGGCCACTGTCGGCAATAAAAAGGATGTGCCGCGGGCGCCAAGGCACAAGTTCGCGAAAATATGGAGCAACAGCAGCAGCAACAGGCAAATTTTGTAGCCGAGCAAGTGGAGGGCGGCGCTTTGCGTGTACGCATAAAGCGCCTAACAGAGCACGAAATTCGACGCTACAGTAGAAGTGACAGCAGCGGTGGAGACCGGTCGAGTAATTCGAGCGACAACAACAGCACCGGAGGCGAGCATGACGACGCTGGCCGGCCAAGTAGCCCCAGCGAGGGCGGTAGCAACAGTGGCAGGCAACAACAAGAAATCGGCGTCGAGGACATCGAAAGCCTCGAAAGTACGCAGCCGTTCGTACTGCCCCAAAATAGTGAAGATGCAGACATGGCTGCCTATTGGGGTGCAGAGTACTTGGCAAACAATACGCCACATTTGACGAGCGAAGAGGAGGAGATGGAGCACGAATCATCGCACGTAAACGTACGATCCGACGACAGCGGGCCAAGCGGTGAATGTGATGGCGAAGTAGAGCGGGCACCAACACCCATAACCATCTCGTCCGACGAGGAAGAGGAGTATGCCAAAAGGCAGGGCGAATTCTCCATCGCTACGCAAGACGCCAGACACCTCGGTAACGGGTACGTAGAGTATGCGCGCCATATTGACATGCGCATCAGGCTATACGACCCGATGGCATCGGAAGAGCCCCTTCCACCGCCGCAACAGCTGTGCCTTAGTGAGGGCGCGATCGAGGCGTGTACGTTGGCGAGCGGTGGACGAAGTGATTTTGTGGAGGAGGCGCCGGCGGAAGCGGATTTTAGTGTGGCAGCAGATGCCGACTTAGTGGCGGAAATAGAGCGTTGGCTAGAAGAGGCTGAGCCGAGAGTGCCATCGGAGTGGCAGGTCCATCCGGACGTAGGTGCGTTGCCGGAAGAGTTGGTGACGGAAATTGAGTCGCACGTAAACCACCAGCAACTGAAGCGGCAGTCATTCAGACGCATCGTGAACGGACAGGCGTACAGAGTGCGAATCACCAAAACTGGCAAGGTGACCGTAAGTCCGGGACCGTAAGCTGCCGGGAGTAAGGAGGGAGTGTGAGGACCCCGGATCCTGTGGCCCTGGGCCCCACAACAACTTTATATACACATACATATATATCCTTTGTACTATTTACCCTGAATTGTTGATTTGAAATTGTATACACACATGTACAAATATATATATATGTACACTTATGTTTTGAATTATTATATTGATGCGTATGTATGTACATAAGCTTATTGAATTGCATCTATTCTGATTATACTAGTACGTATGTATGTATCCACTAATATATTTTCAATTATTACTTTGTATGCACAGTATAAGAAATACCTACAACATACAATACCTACATAAAATGTATAAAGCACAAACAATTGTAATGAGGATAACTGTCTGCGGATGGACAAACATGGTATCAAAGGAGCAGTGCTAACAAGTATTGGGCATTAGCTAGGCATACGTGGCACGCGTCGCAACGTGGGTCACACGGGTAGTGGAAGAGGGATCGAGACTATTATTGTATATTCGAAGTGGGCTTTAACCACTGAGACTGGTGCTAGCTGTAGGGTTTAAACCTACTCTAGTCCTATACTTTAGAGAGTGGATATAGCGAGAGTACAGCAAATAAAGAGGCTATAAACGAGAAGCGAGTGTGTTCTAATTTCACGAGGAGATAGGGTGTTTACTCCTTACAGGACTCTGGACGACCGAGAGCTACGCCCAGCACTCAGGAAAGTCCGTTACATCTTTACTTTGAACTCCTTCTTCTTACTTTTAAACTCCTCCCTTTTCTTTCTCTAAACTCCTTCTTCTTCTTCCCTCTTTCTTCTCATTATGCTTCTTTCTTCTAAACTCCTTCTTCATTACTTTAAACTCTTTCTCCTTCTTCCCTCTTTTCTCTTATATATCCCCTTCTTCTACTCTCCCCTTAGGGTCTGCTTTACGTGACAATCGCTCCCCAATTCCCGAGTTATCACATTTCTGCCTATGACCAAAGTCTACCTATTCTTCGCCTTGCGTCGAATTAGGCTCAGGTGCATGCCGGGGGAGGATTTTTGGTGACTCTGCCGCCTCGGCCTCTTCATCGCCGCAAAATGGCTTCAGCTCACTCAGATGTGCTGTGCTCCTCTTACCGTTGTTGCATTTTCGTTGCCTTCGCCTCTGGTGTCGTCGTTGTTTGACCTGTACTGAAAGTTTGTTCATCGTAGAGGGCTTTTGGTACTCGTGGCTTGCGTCCTTGCACTAGAAAGGCGGGACTGTAGCCGGTAATAAGTGCTAGTGTCATTTCGGGTAATAAGTCGTCCCAATTTCTCTGTTCTTTTCCAGTAACTGTGCAAGCATTCTCTTTATATTGCGGTTTGCTCTCTCCGTTGGATTTGCTTGTGGCGTGTATGGTGCGGTGAGCCGATGCTTAACCCCATACTCTTGCAGTAGCCGTTTGAACTCTCTGCTGGTGAACTGTGTTCCATTGTCAGTGATCACAATTTTCGGGACTTCAAATCTAGCGAGTATGCGTTCTCGAAACGCTTTGTTGAGGCCTTCAGCTGTCGCCTTCCGTAGAGGCACAATTTCCACCCATTTGGAAAACTTGTCAACGAAGACTAGGTTGTGTTTCCGTGTTTTGATCGGGGCACTGGTCACACAAAGTCTGCGCATACTGTAGCCCAAGGTTCATCTGCGACCTGGGTCAGCATCTTTCCCGCAGCTTTCTGTTGGCTGGGCGTGTAAATCTCGCAGGTAGCACACTGTCGAACATACCCCTTTATGTCCCTGAACATTCCGGGCCAGTATTAACGTGCCGTCGCTCTTGTTATCGTCTTGCGGATGCCCACGTGTACTGCGCTTGGACTATCGTGAACTTCCTTCTAGAGCTGTGATACTATAGATGGTAATGTCGATAGTTAAAAACTGTCGCCACTATCGATAGTTTTTGAAAACTATCGATGTCGGTTTTAGCAAGACTTCACAATGTCTCTTTACATCTCTACACATTACATTAAGTTTTTTTTTTATGCAAGTAAATTCGCAACAGAGTCGGCAAAAAAAAATTGGAAGTCATTCGGATTTTTAGCAACTATAAGCTTACACTGAGTTTTAGTAAAATTTAATAAGCTATAAAACTGCTTCGAATTAAAAAGCTAGAATTTTTAATTATTTTGTAGTTTTTTATGTTTTGTACAACTTTTATAAAAAATTAGTAGACACTAAATAAACAAATAAGTAGTCAAAACTGCTAAAATTGTTGTGGTGCTATTATTTTGACCAGTACTTTTTTCGTTCTCTTATAATATGATAAAATGATAATAATTTCCTTTGTCCGGATTTTGATATGCGCCACCGTATTTGATCTCAGTTGAACTTTTATAAAAATGAGTTGTCAATTTGAACGAATATCTTTTATATTGTTTGTTTTGTAGTATTATAAATGTATTTTTAAAATCAATTTCACTTCTTTGCACTTCAAAAGGGACTAACACAATCCGAATTTAATTTTGTCATAAAAAATAAATTCAGATTTTGCATGTCGCTATTCAAGGGGATACAAGGGTATGCATATAAGTTATATGATTCAGACGCATAAATTAATAAGTTTATTTTATTATTATAAGTAGTTCTTTTTGATGCACTCAAATTAAAAAAAAATTACAATCTCTTTAATTTACAAAGTATTTTATAAATTTATTAATTATTTAATTTTCAAGCAATTGAGCGTTTCTATTCAATACCTTTCACAACGATAGCACTATCGGTACTATCGATGTTTTCATCTATCGTTTCGAAAACTATCGAGTGGCGGTACTATCGATAGTATCCCAGCTCTACTTCCTTCAGTACTCTCTTTCGTAGTGGCGCCGCCACGCATAGCTTCCACGGTGTTGTGTTTTCGTCGTCCATTTGGACTGTGATGTGTCGATACAGTTCGTCGTTTACGATTGTGTAGACAGGAAACTTTTCTGGTGTCCTCTTCACTTCTGCCGTCTTATCGGTCAATCACTTGCAAGCCGTTGCCTCTTTATCTTGCACTAATAGGTTGAGCTGTATGTCCTGGGGTTGTCGTGATAATGCATCTGCGACGACATTTAACTTACACTTGCAGTATTTCACGTCAAATGTATGTTGCTGGAGTTCTAGGGCCCATCTTGCAATGCGTCCTAAGGGACTCTCGATCACATTCAGCCATTTGCAGGACAGGTGGTCGGTGATAACTGTGTCAGTACTGCACCTAGTCCAAAATAGCTGGCATCAGTTTGTAGCGTTAAGTGCTGGGAAAAATCTGGGCAGGCTAATACCGGTGCTTCCGTTAGTGGGCTCTTTAATTTTTCGAAGGCCGTCTGCTGCTCATTGCCGGCTGCCTTTCTTCAGTAATGACGTCAGAGGGTGTGCAATATGCGAAAAATCCGGAACAAATCGCCGATACCATGAAAGCACCGTAATTCGCCTGTGTTTGTTGGCGGTGTCAATTCTTTAATCGCCGCAATCTTGTCAGGATTGGTGCGAATCCCTTCTTCGCTCACCACATGATCCAGATATTTAAAACTCTTTTTGAAAAACTCACACTTCTCTGGGTTGATCTTGAGGTTCGCCTGCCACAATCGGGTCCTTGCCACCATCGTATTTGATGCCCCATTTGCGTACGCAATCCATGATCGTTGCGGCTGATCGTTGTGAGTCGACGTATACTGGATACATGGGCACGTTCGGCGTACCTCTCGTACTGTCGCCGTTGATGGGTTGTTGTGTAAGCGGTAGTAGTAACCCTTCGGTTCTCGTTGGTGTTAGTGCGTTCACCGTGCTTGTAGACTTCGTATTCTTAAGCGCTAAATCCGTGACCCGATCGCGATGGTTCTCAGTCTGCCCTTCCTCTTGTATAAACGTAGAGAGGCGTTTATGCAGCTCCTCATCAGTGCCTGAATTGTCAAGGCCGAACTCCATTGTATAGGTCACAAGCTCTTTATTTAAGTAGTACACCCACTTTGGTTTCACCATTTTTTTCTTATTTTCCATTGTTTAAAGATACCCTCTTATTGGTAAGGATTGTTTGATCACTTTCACAATTCTTAATTTCTGGGCTTTTGCCCGTGTCTCTATCACTTTATAGGTGTGTTTGCACTCTTGCTAGGTAGTGTTTCATTTTCTTCACTTCTTTTTCCTCTATGAGTTCTCCTCCTTGGCCCTTACGACTTCCTTTATTTATAAGGGCCCCACGTTGGGCGCCAATTGTAACGAACCTGGTTTATGCGGTCTATAGCTGGGCTGTGGCTCAGTCGGCTGTTGGGTTCCCCTATCCAAACATTTAAATAAATATGCGAATGATTCTTGTAGTGACGCTTTTTTATTTCGCTATTTAGTTGGCAGCGTTTTTACGACATACCCTGTAACGTATTTCCTTGGCAGCGTTTTCACGTCACACCATATGAGTACTACTTGGCAGAGTTTTCACGTCCAACCAATATAACGTATTTCATTGGCAGCATTTTCACGTCACACCATAAAACTTAGCTACCTACTAAGCAACTTAGTTTTCACAATCATTGCTTAGCCGTTCCTCTCTGCGTTTGAACGATCGACTGGAGTATACGACTGCTCTTCCAGAAGCGATTTCTAATTCTATTTACTGCTCTATTTATACTATATATATATATACAGACAGTTATCCTAGCAACATTGTTGCTAGTACTTTCTTTATTTCCTTTTACCTGTTCATGCCTAAGTACGTATGTATGTACTTCAAATTTCGATATAAATATTTACATATGTATTGCAACTTCACGTATGTATATAACCAACAATTCATGTAATATGTGTAATTCAGTTCTTCATTTATATCTATATATATATGTATATAACAATTTAAAATATAATTCCGTTCAATAAAATATGACAGCCAATTGTGAAGTCCCTGAGTGCATGGACTTGGGGTCTTCACAGAATATATTTTGACACAAAACATATTTAAGAAATTTGTCTACAGATTTATTAAAAACTTCCGACTGTCCAAAAAGTTTGTTTGTGAGCCAAATATATTTAAGATATTTTAAAACTATCAACAGATCTACGATTTTGTTCTCAGAGATAATGCCAACTGATTATTTTCCTTCACTTCACTTTTCGGCCTTTCATTTTAAAGCATTTCGAGCTTGCGTTTAGAATTCACGACGTTAGACCTGTATGAAATTATTAAAAAATGTTTAAAATTATTGTCTAGCCGCCAAAGAATAAGAAAACAAATGCAAAATCATACATTTTTCACAGTTTTCTAACACTTCGCAACACCATCGAAAGCAAAATTCCGTTCTACAGAAAATTCGATACTCAACGACCCTGCAAGAACAGTGACTATAGTCATAATGATATATCATTTGACAAATCATTTTAGTAGCAAGACTGATAGAGATTTCAATCACTGGCTACCTACAAGTTTCTATTAAATTCTAAA